CTTATGGAGCCATATCCTTTCAGAGGAATGCCTGGCTACTCAACAGGGTTGGAAAGTCAAACAAGGATCAACACCTAGTTTTGCCTGCTGTGTCGTGGGCCTGAGCCTGCAAAGCTAGACCAAATGTGGTCCCTTTCCTAAGCGGCGGGGGGGTCACCTTCTAGTAGGGGAAGGAATTTAGTCTCACTTCTAGGAATCTGGAGTATTAGACAAGTCAAAGCAAAGTAATGAGGGGTTAACATAACCTCAGAGGACCACTTTGAGTCTAAAATCCTTCCAGGTGTGTCAGATTGGTAGCGCCAACTTGTCAGTTTCTATTAAGAAGTAATAGGACTGGGCTTCCTGGGTGTGAGGGAAAGCAGGTCTGGGCTTAAATGTCCTTCCACTCTGTCACAAACAGGAGATTGAAACTTAGGGGCCTGCATTCTTATCTGTAACCTCTCTCAGGGTTGTTTTTGAGGATGCAGTGAGTTAATGCATGCCCCCAGAAGCAGGGGAAGGGAACTGCTTTGGGGAGACTCCTATGTGTTATACTGAAGGGCTCCCTTAAATGCTTTATGACGTTTCTGTTCTCTTGTAACTCTGTAAGGTCGGGGTTATCCCTACTTTCTAGTGAAGAAACAGGCTTAGAGCTATTGAGGTCAAGGTCGCAAAACTGGCATGTGACAGCAGAGATTTAAGTATAATTTGGAAGGTGACTGTTTCCACCACACCACACCCTACTGGTAGGGTTGTTGTGATCACATGGGTAACATCTATGAAAGTCACCAAGAGCTTTCCTGGCATCCAGAAACCCTTGATCTAGAGGCACATCAGTCTCCTCTGCTGAGAAGGAGGGGACACCACTCCATGCTGTTGACGTCTCTTGAGTTTTAAAATGGAGCTTTTACCTCAGGGTAACTCCTATTTAAATGTTCACACATGGATTAATTCCTTTGCTCCTGACTGCTGCAGATAAATAAAAACTGTGGTAGGGCACCAGGCTCTGAGCTAGGCCAGGCAGGTTTGGACAATTTCCTAAGCCTCTTATAAAGAAAACTGGATTGAAAAAAAAGTTGCCCTGGGTACAGTGATTCATGGACTGGTTTGGTTTTTTGGTTTGTTTTCCTTCTATTCTTTTTTTCTATGGAAAAAAAATATGCATGCTTGGAAAGGAAAATGTGTAGCTTTTCATTTATCTTTTACTTACCACCTGAGCCTTTCTCCAGGAGGCAGAGAGTGAATTAAAGGCTGGAAAGGCAATGTCTGATGAGGCTCAGTTTTCTGACAGCCCACCAGGCCCATCCTGGGCCAAGTACATTTTCACTACAAAGAGGTGTGACTAATCTTTCAGAGCAAGTGATATGTTAGAAGCAGTAGTTGGACCAGATGTGGTGGCGCATGCCTGTAATCCCAGCACTTTGGGAGGCTAAGGCAGGAGGGTCACTTGAGGCCAGGAGTTTGAGACCAACTTGGGCAACATAGCAAGACCCCACATCTAAAAAAAAAAAAAAAAAAAATTAAAAAAATTAAAAATTAGCTGGGCATGGTAACATGTGCCTGTAGTCCTAGCTACTCACGGGGCTGAGGTAGAAGGATTGCTTGAGCCTAGAAATTTGAGACTGCAGTGATCGCCACTGCACTACAGCCTAGGTGATAGAATGAGATCCTGTCTCAAAAAAAAAAAGAAGGGAAGAAGCAGCAGTAGTAAGTCCTGTGACCTCGTGGCCAGCCAGTTCATCCTATGAAGGAGGTCTGTGCTGAGTCCTTTTATAAAGTGAAGAGACCCTTTAGAATGCTGTGGACTGTGTAGCATAGTGGTTAAGAGCTCTGACTTGAGGCTTAAATGCTGCTTACTGGCTGTGTGAACTTGGGCCATTCATTTGACATCTTTTAACCTCAGTTTTCTCATTTGTAAAATGGAATGAATAACACTATCTTATAGGATTATTGAAAAGATTAAATGCATTAACTGTGCAGTATTCCTTGCACATTATCTGGTATATAGTAAATGCACAGTAAATAGCAGCTGCTATTATTTATTGCAAATAATTGCAGCCATTTTAATTTATAGATCTGTAGAATTAGAGAATCACTTTGAGACTAATTTAATCTCCATCTTTTACAAATGAGGAAACTAATCCAGAGGGGGAAGGGGCTTGTCCTAAGTCAAGTGGCTAGTTAGTGCCAGGAGCTGGCCTGGAACCATGAGTCATGTTCCTAATGATTGTTCACACTTATGTCGTATCTACACCCCACGAAGAACTTCTTGTCAATAATGTTTCTAGGCTGGGTTTTCACTTTCCTAGTGGGGGAATGGGCACATGGGGGTGGAGAGGGGTGGAGTATGAGAGATTGAGCTAGAAAGGCTTCAGTTTCTATGGGTGAGGTTGGGAAGAGACACAGTTACATAGTTATGGGTCCTCTGGTGAAGAGGGATCACCTTCTGGAGTTCTACCCCAAAGGCTCACTCTCTTAGACTTGAAATTCTGTTGCTTTTTGAATCCATCTCCAGACTCAAGATAGGGATTTCTTCTAGGGAGGAAAGGTGCTGGGAAAGGATGGGCTTCATGGGACTTTCCACCTGATTTGTGATGTTTATTTTCTGTCATTGAAAAGTTACACGAGTGAAAGACCTGAAGCAAGTATGGCAGAGGGTGATCATTGGTATGTGTGGTGCTGCAGTGTTTTGCTTTTCTCTGTTTAATTTCTCAAAAAAGTCAGTAACATATGCAGTTAGCCAGGCAGTTTAAAGATAAACTGTTTAAAGATAAACTGTCAGCCACATACTTTAGAGCAGTGTTTTGTTTTATTTTTTATGTTTCTGGGAAGCATCAACTCCTTGGAGAATCTGATTAAACTAATGATTCTTTTTCTGAAAAAAACTGCTTTTGAAAAATGTTTACAAAGAATGAGAAGGAGCTCCATGAGCCAACGTGGAAAGATTTCCTGCACATATATATATATATAGTTAAGTGTTAAAAAAAAAAAAAGTAAGAGTATCTATAGTATTCCACCTTTCATATAAGAAACAAGGGGATATTTAAAAATTCATGTATTTGCTTATTTGTGCAGAGAAAATACAAGAAAGATAAACCAGAAACTAAAGAGAAACCTGGGGTGAATGGGAAGAAAGGGGCATGAAAACAGCATAATACAGAGAAGAGGAGAGTGACATTTCTCTGAGCATACTTTTCTGAGTTTTGTCTCTTAGAACTATAGTGATAGCTCACAAACCCAGAAAGTAAGTAAGTAAAAGTAACCAGGATATAGGGGAACCCAAAATGGAATACAAAAATTTGCAAATGAAAAATAGCCAGGCATGGTGGTGCGCCTGTAATCCCAGCTACTTCAGAGGCTGAGGCAGGAGAATCGTTTGAACGCAGGTGGCGGAGGTTGCGGTGAGCCCTGCCATACTGCACTCCAGCCTGGGTGACAGAGCCATAGTCTAAAAAAAAAGTTACAAGTTACAAATGAGTCTGTGTTACAAGTGAATAATGTAACCACACTGAAGGGCATGTGGAAGAAAAGAACTCAAGTAACTGGAAAACAGTATTTTGGCTGAATACTATGAGGCTAAAGACAGAACTTTATACAAATGCTGTGCGCTGTTAGTAAATTTGTTTCTCACAGGGGTATGGATTAGAAGTTTGGAAACTATGTGTATGCTAAGATTGAACAAATATAGAAATGCATGGTAGACAATAAGAACCGGGTTTCTCCTTCTTTGAGAAAGTAGTTACAAATAAGAAAAGGAGGAATGCTAGAATGAACCATGTGATGTTAGATTGGAATTAGCTATCAGTATGAACTTATGGCTTTTTAATAGATACGTAGATAGATACAGAATTACACGTAGATTTGGGGGGGTGGCGGGGGGGGGGTTGATTAGTATACATACCTGTATTTTTTAGCTCTGTCTGCTAAGAAGTTCTGAAAGAAATAATATTCCAACAGCAATGAACTTAGAGCCTAGATCCTGGTTTTCAGTACCATTCCCCAATAAAAGCAACCAGGGCTTCTTGGAGAAAGGCTTGATCCCTAGGGCTGGACAGAGAAAACACAAGAGGATAGATAATCTTGTGTTGCAGAAAGTATATAATTACTCACAAAAAGTTGGCAGCATGTTGAAAGAACACAAAAACTAACCCAAAGAAGCCCCCAGTGGCCAAATTTGGAACACTTTGAGCAGCAAAATAACTAATGATAGTAGTGGATTATAACCATAGCATAAAAGATACCAATGAGTTGTACTGATATAAGTAATTGAAGGAGCAAATAAATGGGCAGAAGGAACATAGACCTCCCTGAAAACCATCTTGTGCCAAAAGAGTCAGCAAACTTCCTGTAAAGGATTGGATAGTAAAGATTTGGGGCGTTATGGATCATATCTCCGGCCCAACCACTCAGCTCTGCTTTTGTAGTGCAGAAGCAATCATAGACAATACCTAAACAAGTGGACATGGCTGTGTTCCAGTAAAACTACAAAAACAAGGTCCCTTAGTTTGTTGACCCTGTTCTAGAGACTGCCTCTTTAGAAGATTAGGTGTCTTTCCCTGTTTACACAGTAGATCTTGTTGAATTTTAGGGGTAGGAGGGCTTCAGTTGAGATGATTGTACCCTGTAGCTCTGACACATACACTACTTGGTGCAATTTAAGAATTGCAGATTTGGGGAGAGGTGGCTTATTTTGTCTCTTGTTCAGATCTTGTTTTTGTGTACATATTCTGTATAGTGGTATGTAGTGTAGATTTTGCAATCAGACACAACTGGCATGGAAAACTAGCTTTGTCTTCACTAGCTGTAGGACCTTGGACAAGTCGCTCAACTTCTCTGAGTTTCTATTTCATCATATGTAAAATAGTAATGTGGTTAGCTACAAGGACAGAATTTTAGATGATCCACTAAGAGGAAAAGATATTCTGCATATATCATCTCTAGGGGGAAAATGAGTGAGTCAGTTTAGGAGTCTATTATTGGTCTGGGGTGACAGCTATAGGATTGTGGTTGTTAACACCTAGGAAGACCTCCGCGTGGATGGCCGTGGCTGTGAGGACTACCGATGTGTTGAAGTGGAAACCGATGTGGTGTCCAACACCAGTGGGTCCGCCAGGGTCAAGCTGGTGAGTACTGTGACCATGGTTGAAGCCCAAGTGGAGAAATGAGTAGACACTAAGGAATGAGCTGCTGATGCCATCTGGCTTTTGGAATGCAGATTGCTCTTGGGGAAATCAAAGATCCAAGCCAAACTCAGGGAGGGGGTGTCTCCATATCTGAAAGACCGCTCACCTCCTCCAAAGACCACTTTCCAAGTCTTAGCACTGCTCCTAAAAGAGTCCCCCAGGGGTGTATGTCCAGAAGAGGAGGGAGGTGGTGGAGCGCCTGGCTGTCTACTCTGAGTGAGGACCCTTCTTGCATGTGTCTGCAGGGTCACACAGACATCTTGGTGGGCGTGAAAGCAGAAATGGGGACGCCGAAGCTGGAGAAACCAAATGAAGGCTACTTGGAGTTCTTTGTTGACTGGTCAGTACTATGCAGATATTTCTAAAGAAAAAATTCTAAAGAAAAATGATTTTAAAAATGAAGATTCAGAAAATGAACCTCTAGTTTCCTGTTGAACCCACTTTTATACTTATCATTCAGCCATCCAGCAGGCATTTGCTGACCTCCTCCTATGTGCCAGGTACATAGTCAGGACTCTTGGCTTGAGTCCTGCCCTAGTCTTAACCACCTGGCTATTGCTGGCCTTGTTTTCCCTGTCCAGTAAAGGAGGACATCTGCCAGGCAGCCTAGCGCATGATTGTGATGAGGGTCAAATGAAATGATTGTGTTATGGTGCTTTGAAAAATATCATACACAGTAAGGATCATTTGGTCTAAAATGTACTATTTCTCTTCCTATTCTAGTTCTGCAGAAAACTGTTCATGATTTGCTTGACAGATGAAGCCTAGGGTCAGCCAAGCAGCCTGACAGGTTGAGGAAGTGGCAGCTAGGCAGGCAGTATGGGTACTGAGAAGAGAGAGGGCTCTGTAGTGTCTGCAGCCAGCCTTGGGCCAGAATGTCACTTCCTTCTCTGGCCAGCTTTGTGATCTCAGGCTGGTTACTCAGTCTCACTGTGGCCAAATTTCTTCATCTAAAAAATGAGGATAATAAAGAGGAAATGAATAGAGTCAGTACTTAGCACAGTGACTGAGACTCCCAGTGGGCTTTCAATAAGTATTATTTTTCCTTATTTTGTCAGTAAGTTCAATAAGTATCATTAGCTCCACGTTCTAGGGGTTGGGGCTTTTTATTGGGTTGCTGGCCAGGTCCCGTCTTCTATCAGTTACCTTGCTTCTGGAAGTCAGGCCTTCTTGAAGTGGGTAAGGATCTCTGTGGGCTCATGCTGGGTGTAGGTATATAATGTTGACCCTATATCAAGATCCCCGAGACCACCTCCACATTCAGAGATTTGCTGGACTTAGCATATAGTGATACTCACAGCTAAGGTTTATTATAGCAGTGAAAATACAGTAACTAATTTGTGACATTTCTGCCCAGGAAAGCCCATTAGAGACTCAGCACCCAAGATTTTTACTGGGGGCTGGTCACATAGACACTCGCTGCTTAATACATAATGAAGTTTTCTAAAGGAAAGCAAATGTTCAGCATAAATGATATTATTTGCACAATATAGGCACAATGGACTACCCCCATCAGTTTCCTATTGACTGGGAATAGTCTGAGAGCCAGGTTCCCAGATGGCAGCCAAGGGCCAACCCTGCAAACAGACCCTTCTGAAAATAGCAGCCTTGGACCGCAACGGCAGCTCTTTTCTGCACAAATGTTAACCCACTTCTGTAGGGTAGTTACAGTCTTCCAGTCTGAACTTCCATACACGGAAGCTGATTCTCACAGTACTCCTATAAGAGAAATGACAAATGAGTTCAGAGAGGGTAAGTGACTTTCCCAGGGTTACAAAGCTAAAAGTGCCAGCTCAGGTCTGTCCAACCTGTGAATCTTTGCTCGGTTTACTTCATGCAGCCTATAGAAGTCAGCTTTGGAGGGCTGCTCTTGGGGAGTCCAAGAACTATCCATGTTCATTTTTCTGGTCAGTTTTTTTTCCAGCCCACTCCTGACCTCTGCTCTGGTCCCCCAAGTCATCTCTCCTGGTTCTGCTCATCTTCTCTCACCAGCTTGAGTTGTCCCATGGAATTGGGACATCCTCTAAGTTACTGTGGATGATGGTGACCTTGTTCAAGCCCCCAATTTATCTTTTCCTTTGTTCTTGGAGGAAGCAGAATGCCTCTGGTAGCCTTGATCTGCCTAATTCAATGCAGTAAGCAGTCACTGAGGAGCAGACAACGTATGAGGAACTGTAATTTGCTTTCTTTTTCATCTCCTTCATTACCTTCTACCTCATTCATTTTAAGCAGACCAAAGACATTCAGCCCAACCACACCAAAGAGAGGGTGTTGCCCTCAGATGCTTGGTATAGGGGATACATTTCATTGTGACTCTGTGTCTAAATATGACTCCAAGTTAGCCTGCTGCTCTTATCCCTTTCTTGTCCCAGCTGTATAGGAAGAGTGACTCTAGTGTGAGAGGATCCTTTGAGTTGCATCTTCCCAAGATCTGGCTTCTAGAAGTAGCCTGTCTTTCTTGCCTTAGAGTGGCTGCCTCTTGGTCTCTTTTCCTCCTCCGTGGGTCTCAATCCACAGTCCCAAGAGCTCCAGTTTCTACGTAGTTCTCCTGAATTGATTTCTCAAGATGGACAGTCTCAAAGTGGCACACTTTAGCTTCTGTAAGTGGCTCAGCTAATGTAATCAGCCCAGCAAGTAGAATCACCATGAGAGAGTCACAAAACCCCATTTCCTACAGAGATGAGAGAGGTTACCAAGCACTGATGGCTGCCACCTGTATCAGAACCTCACTTGAGCCTTCAAGGAGCATAATTATTTTAATTGCATAAACAAGCATATCCTTTTATTCTGAATCAGTGAATAGGAATGGCTTCTGGACACCTGTGGATGTGCCGAGCAATAAGGGTGCCACACGCCCACTCCCACCTGGACTCCAGGCATAGGGCCTCTGCTGGAGAGCTCAAGGCATTTGCCTATCCACAGGCTGAAACATAGTTGCTACCCAGCGGAAGGAAAGAAATTGGTGGTGATGGTGATAGTGGTGGTGGCGGCGGTGATGGTGGTGAGGGTTTCTTCTGCTGCTCTGAGTCTAGTTTGATTTAACTTCTTGTCAGCAACTTCCAGTTTTAATTAAATTCCCAGGGGTAGAGAGGTCTCAGAAAACTAATTGATTTTCTGCTAACTCATTTCACTTGGTTTTGTCTGCTTGGAATGATAATACATGGAGCCAAGAAAGAGATTGTCGCCACCTCCATAATTTACCCTGTTTCTTGGGAATGATGAACAATCTTTGCTATAGCCCTCACAGCCCTTTGGAAAGACTGCTTCACTGACCCTGAGCCCTGCTCTAGAGAGGCCTGGCAGCACTGTCACTAAACTGGGAGCAAAATCTGACCTTTTCATATCTTTGGTTTACTGATTGTAGTTGAGAGTAGGCTATTTTAAATGAGAACTTGGAAACTTTAGGAAAAAGTGGTTTCTATCTAAAGCCCAAGAGGAAGGTAAGATTTTAGTGAGCTGGTGTGTCACCCTGTGCTGCCACTAGGCGGTGAGCCATCAAGTTGCTTCTCAGTTCTCCGACCATTGTGTTGATGGGTTTAGGACTGTGGTTTAGCCTCTTAGAGAGACTTGGGTTTTTAACTAGGGGAGTTTAGGAGAACATTTTTCATTCATAAATGTTTCAGGATGCTCTGCACTTGTCACTTCCCTTTGGGATCTTAAATATTTTTCAATGTGATCAGTTGTATTTTTCACTAAAATTCAACCAGAATCTTCAAGCCTGCATTGGTGGGTAGAACCACTATATCTGGGTTCCTTGCCTGCTTAGTGCTGTTAAAGGGGACACTGTTCCTGGCTGAAGGGCTGGGGGTGGGTACAAAGCAGAGAGGCAACCTGCAGAAGCCTTTTGAGGCTAATTGTGATCGAAGTCTCCCAAGCTGATGAGATAACTCTGGCAGAAACTTCAAACAAAGGCTTGTGATGAAAAGCTCAGAATGTACTTACTATTGGTCTGGTACCCATTCACAGGAAGGCTTCTGCAGGCTCAGAAGTGAGCACATGTACACACAGAGGAATCAGCCTTAGGGCCTGTGCTGGGGCTAGATGACTACTGGAGGGGTAAGGCCCGAGTTAGCCCTGCCTAGATACCCACTAGATCACTTTTTCTGCCATGGGCCTGGCCTCACCTGGCTGTAAGACTTCATAGATTTGCAGGCCAGATTGATTGCCAGGCAAACAACAATGGGCCCAGTGTCTAGAGTCCCTTTCCAGGTAGGCTTGGCCTTGATCTCAGCCTACCCCAGTTAAACCAGAGATGTTCCAAGCAGGAGGGTAGAGATGATGAGTCAGAAGGGGTGGAGGGCTGGGAGGGGTAGCATTCCCGGGATCTTAATTAGTTTATCCAGCTCAGTAAACAATTTCCCACAACTCTGGAAGAGGGACTGGTCATGCTTTATGAAGGGTCAGAATTGGTTTTGGTAAATGCAGAAAGCATTTGGTTTTATGCCCAAAAGACTGAGTGTGTACACCCCTCACTGAAGGAGTCGATTGTGAGGCATATGAGCAGGTGGCTACAATTACCAGCCTGTGTTTTCTTTCTCTGTCTCTCTAACAGAGCAGAACAGCTTTTTATTCAGGGCTTCCTTGATCAACATTCCTTGACTCCAACATTTGTGGTCTAGTGATAAGTCCCAAGACCAGAGCACACATTCATTTTCTTGAGGCAAAAGGTAAAACCAAGGGAAGTGAATCTGACTAATGTTAGACTATAAACCAAGCTTGCCAAATTACAGATTCAAGGAGAGTTCAGGGAAGCATAGCAGATAAGGGCCAGGCTGCCTGGGTTAGAATTTTAGCTTACCAGGCAAAGTCATCTTGTGGCCTTGGACGAATTACATAACCTCTCTGTGACTCGGTTTTCTTATTTCTAGAATGGAGTCAATACCTCCTAGGGTTGTTGTGAACACTAAATGAGTTAATACACCTAAAGTACTAAGAGTGGTGTCTAGCTTATACTAAACATTCAAAAAAAAGGTAAGGTTTCCCTTCTTGTAAAATGAGAGAGTTAGACCATCTGGGATCTCACAGTGTCATCCCACAGGTCAGATCCCACCTGTGAGATTTTTGTTTCACATAGGGATTTTTTTTTTAAGGTGGACCTTAAGTCAGGGCTGGAAAGTTTGCCACAGCCTCCATCATTCTCTATTGGTTATAGAGAATGATTTTCTTATTAGTTATAGAGAGTGGCCCTTTGTTCAGATACATGTAGTAACCTTGCTGACTCCTATAGGCATTTGGGTTTTTATCCTCTGGAGATGGTCTCTAAGGCCTGCTCCAGGTCTACATTTCTGTCAGAAAGAGTCCTTGGGCTGTGAGTGCCCAGTAATTAAGTGGAATCCTCATTTCTCTACTCCAGCCTTTGTCTTCACCCACCAGCAGAATATGGGGTCTCTGGCTTATGTTACTTAAAGCATTGTACCCCATCCCCCACCCTGAACAATTGCCTTCCGTTTTCCCAGCCTCCTCTCCAGAGTCACTGCACAGCTGTGGCACCATCCAGACACAGGAGAGTTCCATGGGCTCATGAGTCTCTGAACCTTCCTCTCTGTCTGACTGCTGGCTACGCTGAAAGAATAGGGGTGTGTGTGTCTGTGTGTGTGTGTGTGTGTGTGTGTGTGTGTGTTTTAAGCCACTTAAAAATCGGTAAAAATTTCCACTTTAACCCAGTGTCCAAAAAAACCAATGGGGCATGGGTTTGTTGTTGTTGTTGTTTTTTGAGACAGAATTTTATCTTGTTGACTAGGCTGGAGCGCAATGGCACCATCTCAGCTTACCGCAAACTCCGCCCCAGGTTCAAGTGATTCTTGTGCCTCAGCCTCTCAAGTAGCTGGGATTACAGGCATGCGCCACCACGCCCAGATAATTTTTCTATTATTAGTAGAGACAGGGTTTCTCCATGTTGGTCAGGCTGGTCTCAAACCCCCGACCTCAGGTGATCTGCCCGCCTTGGCCTCCCAAAGTGCTGGGATTACAGGCGTGAGCCACCGTGCCCGGCCAGGGGCATGGTTTTATAGGTAGATTAATTTAGACAGCTGGACCTGGGAAGCTCTATAAATTGTCCCCTAAGGCTGTAGAAGAGTTAGTGCATTAATCCCAAAGAAATTAGTCATACCCAGGAGCATATGCCCACTACATTCAGGGAAAGAGAAACATTTTGAGCATAAGCATCTCTGACTGGATTTGTGTACACAGAAATCTCTGTAGGTGTATTTTTAAGCACTTAAAACAGGGACTTAATATTGATTGCTTAGTGTTTAAATTAGAAACAGGTTATGTTTTGCTGGCTGTGCAAAGTAAAAACTTGGTCCCTAGTGACTTGATTATTTCACCATAAACAAGCTGCTTTTCTCGGCTCGATGCCAGAGTCCAGCAAAGGCGGGGAACAACGAGGTTGCTATGGCAGTAATGAAATCTCTCTTGGGGACTTAAAGGGGATTCTGCTGGCTCACAGTGGTAAAGGAAGAGTATATAATTAGAGAGGCAAAATTTTATGTGACGACATAGTCTGATTATTTTAAGATTAATTCTTCCACCTATATTACTAAGTGAGTTTTTTTTAGTGTTATACAAATTGGGTGGGCACTGCCATGGGCCTTCACACAGGTTTTGCTTTGCCTGTAATCTTCCTGCCTCTCTGGCCTGACCAGCTCTGCTCATCCCACGTTTGAGGTCTCCTTTAAACCTGAACGCTAATTGACATTCTTGCGCCTCCCTCCTCCTTCCACCTCACTGTTTGCTCCCTATCGTGAAACTGCCCTCCCTCACTGGAACCGCTGGCTTTGGGTCCGCGTCCGCCTCACGTAGTCTCTAGGTCTCTGGTAGCTGGTGCAGGGCTGGGTACCTTCAAGATGGGCAAGGAGTCAGAAGGCTTTAATATGTGATTTTACAGAGTCTGTGCTGAAACTACCGGCTTCTTAGCTTTCTAGTCCTTTATTGTTACAGTAAAATGATTACTATAATGTTTACTTACCTCACATACATATTAAGGGTTTGTTTGTATTAAGCCAAAACCCTCGGAAACGTCCTGTTAAACACTTCAGTGTTTTTACGGTGGCTAACGTGGAATCCTGTTAGTTTTGTTGAGGTTATTGGGCATAAGTATCAAGAAGCCAAAAAGGGAAAAACAAGTTTTCCTCTTGAAAAATGTCAAATGAAGGAGGTAACCTACTACTTATGAGCCAACAGTCTTTCCCTTGCTTTCTTTCATTTTCCTTCTCTTCAGTACAGTGATATCTAAAGTTTCTGACTATCATACATGTCTTTTAAGTCATTCCAGAAAGGTTATTGTACTTACATTGTGGTTTTTATATTGAGAGTATCGTAGTGTATTCTAAAGCTGTGAAACTAGAGGTAGTGTATATGATGAAACCCCTCTGTAATCCAGACTGCTTCATTCCCTAGGCCTCTCAGCTTCCTGGGCCTGCCAGACAAGAGTATTTATTATACTCTGAAGATAAGAGAGTTAATTATTATCAGCTGAGGTTCACATTACCATCACTCTCCTGTTTCTCTTTGACTAAAGATGGCTTCTGTTAGAAGCTATTGGGAAATCCCGTAACACACGCTGACAAATCCAGGTCACAGTGCTGATCTGGTTCATTACATGTGTCTGGAGTCAGGAAAAGTGGCAGATGCCATCCTTTCCTCATCCCAGTGACTTTCTGTTGAGCAGCTGGCTCTTCCAGCATTCTGCAGGGAAACCAGAATAAAGCCTTGTCTCCTTGCTTTTTGCACTTGGAAAGACTCACCCAGTTTTTTTGTTTCTGTTTTGTATAGTTCAGCCAATGCTACCCCTGAATTTGAAGGTAGAGGAGGTGATGACCTTGGCACCGAGATCGCTAACACCCTCTATCGGATATTTAACAATAAAAGCAGTGTCGACTTGAAGACCCTCTGCATTAGTCCTCGGGAGCACTGCTGGGTTCTCTATGTGGATGTGCTAGTGAGTATCACCCTGCTGAACTGGCCACATTCTACCTTTGTTGGAAAGACTAGTTGGCCTACTTTCCTTCCAGTGCCTTTTTCCTCTTCAGGTGGATGCTTTCAACTTATAGGGTGAGATTTGTTGGGAAAAGATGGTCTCCTATAATAATTTTTAAAAAAATTAAATACAACATAGATGTAAGCAGCATATATATAATGCCATTCTATAATAAAATTATAGTCATATCATGGTAGCACCTAAAATTGCCCATAAAAGTTGTCTGGGAAGAATAAAACAAGAGATGGTCTCTGGATGGTGCCAGACAGAGTTAATGGGCAGAATTTAAATAGGTTGGTACATTCTGTGTGAAAGGATGATAAGCTCTTTACATGCATTTTCATTTAAACATTATAAACCTGTTGCAAATGGACACTGTTATATTTCCCATTTATAAGTGAGGAAACTAAGACATAGAGAGGTTAAGTAACTAGCCCAAGAGGTCTCAGCTTGTGAGTGATGCTGTTGAGTCTCAAAGCCAGGTCTGTATGATGTGAACACCTGGTGTGACTTCACTGTGCCATCGTTTTTTTAAACACCTCAGAGCCTGCCTGCCCCTAGTTTCCTGGGTGAGGCCCCAGAGGCCCTGCCTCTTCCCACACAGAGTCTACTCACCTGGGAGCCTTTTGAGTCACCAGCCTTCCATTTCCTCCCTTGTACTTTGCCTCCCAAATACTCCTCTACACATGTTTTGGCACTCGACAGTAACTTCTCTGTATAGCTCTAATTAATTTTGGGTTTTTTTGAGATGGAGTCTCGCTCTGTCACCCAGGCTGGAGTGCAGTGGCGTGATCTCGGCTCACTGCAACCTCTGCTTCCCAGGTTCCATCGATTCTCATGTATCAGCCTCCTGAGTAGCTGGGACTGACTACAGGCACAAGTCACCACGCCTGGCTCATTTTTGTATTATTAGTAGAGATAGGGTTTCATCGTGTTGGCCAGGCTTGCCTGGAACTCCTGACCTCAAGTGATCCACCTGCCTCGGCCTCCCAAAGTGCTGGGATTACAGGTGCGAGCCACCGTGCCTGGCCTTAATTTTGCTTTTGTATAATCCTGTAGCAGTTGGTTGCTTGTTTATATACAGGATCTTGTTGGGTCTGTTTTATTCCTTTTTGTTAAATTTTGTGAACCTTGAGATTAGCAGCTACATCTTCCACTTCAGATTAAGGACACAAAGCTAAGCTATTGGCCAAATAGATTATTTAATGAATGTGCAGATAAAGGAGATCTGTGAACTGACAGTGAACTTCATGAAAAGAAACAGCCTGGCTCTGCATGTTGGCTCTACTGAAACAGGGTGGAACTTTCTAGATATTTTTAAATTAATTTGATATTGGATGGAGCATAGTCAAAAGGTAGCAGTGGTAACCATTATCTAGCAGGTTACTGTTGCAATGCTACCACTAATAGGTAAAAATAATGAAATTACAAATCTATTTGCTTTTTCTGTCTCTCATAAGTGTGATGCACCTTGTAGTGTGATTCCTACTAAGCAGGCAATTTTTCAGGTCTTGGTTTTGAGGAGGTGAGAACTGGCAGCCTGTAGTCCTTACTGAGGATGGCAGAGGCAGGCTTCATAGTTGCCCAGGGAGGTGCAGCTCCATGGCATGAACTCTCAGGTTCCATCCTGTGTCTGAAGAACATTATGTCCACTCCCCTTCTCCACTAGAGAAAGTTAAGACACAAGTGTTATGGCACACTGCATTTGTCCTTTTGTAATCCTTCTGTGTTCATCCTCAGTATTCATGCACACTTGTAGTTTTGTAGGATGGCCCACTGATGGGGACTGATGTGCTTTTGATTCAGTCAGTTAAAGTCAAAGTAACAGAAGCCTATTCTATTAGGGAAGGCTTTTACAAAACTGATGAATATTGGGACATTATCTCAGCTCAGAAGCAGCCCTCTTCAGTGAGCAGGGGATACATGGTGCGCAGGAGTATCCAGGGGAATGTGCACTGTGTCCCTGTCATCTGTAGACCTTTATTTTTAAGACTCCTGGCATTTGGATTTCTTCTGAAATATTTTTTAAAGAGTTTTGCTTATTTTGGAAGAAGACATGAACTTTGAAAATGTTGTCATTTTCTGACCAGGTCCAGTGACTTACGCCTGTATTCCCAGCACTTTGGGATGCCAAGGCAGATGGATCACCTGAGGTCAGGAGTTCGAGACCAGCCTGGACAACAGGATGAAACCCTGTCTCTACTAAAAATACAAAAATTAGCTGGGTATGGTGGCGCACACCTGTAATCCCAGCCACTGGGGAGACTGAGGCAAGAGAATTGCTTGAACCTGGGAGGCGGAGGTTGCAGTGAGCCAAGATGGTGCCACTGTGCTCCATCCTGGGCAACAGAGTGAGACTCCATCTTTAAAAAAAAAAAAAGTTGTCGTCTTCAGAAAAGTTTTTAATGAATTAGAAAAGCATTTTTGAAAACGATATTATTAATGAGGCCGATCCATTTTTGGCATTCACATAATTTTCATCAGTGGATGGGTGATATACTGAGTAGATTGAGTCCATGTTTGAAGCGAGGTGGTGGAAATCTGTGAAGCAATCCTTGAAGCAGGATAGTGGAAAATAAATCTCCTATTTTCTTTTTGCCAACTCGTCTGGGTAGTCCTCAGACAGAGCCCATGTTCAAACAGATATTTGCTGGGCACCCTGCCATGTTTTTATACTTATTTACTTCAAACCTGTTACAGTCAGATAACCCACCTGTTTCCAGTATTGTTTTTTTCCCGAGTTTGGTTATTTTATGAGAGTGAAAATTTAACTTCATGGAATTTCACTTTGCTTTGCTCTTTATAGTTCTCTGATGGCATCAGTTTTTACTCCAAGAGGGATAACTGTTAGAACTTTGTTGCACTAACAACACACAGCTGACCTTTGGTGGGGTGATTGGTCACAAGGCTGTCTTTTGATGGGTTCTTTCACAAATAATCACCAACATTCTTCATAACAGCCCTTCTGTTGGGCTCTGGGGATAAAAGGATGAACAGAACTACAGAGTCCCAGCCTTTAGGAGTTCACAGTTCAACTGAAGAAGAGAGAGACTCTAAACAAAAACAGAAATACATGGCTTTTCTTTCTATGTGTGACTTCTCACCTTTCTTATTTGGGGCAGCCCAGTCGGCTTTATTCCATAACCTCAGGCCGAGGCCTCTCTAAAATGAGGACAGAAGGATATGCCACCTTCCAGTTAAATGTGCTCTAATTTTCCCTGCTAGATGAGCACACATAAGTGCACTCAACACTTTTGCTCATGGGCAGAAGCTTGTCTGAGAGACCTTAGTCTTCATTATAAGTAATGTAAAACATGTAGTATTTAATGTCTGAGCGTCAGATATACATTGATTGTTATGTACGAGAGGTAATTACAGTAGTGAACGTGAACCTAGTAGCAGCCGCAACATCAGTAGTCAATGTTTTCTCCTTGTTTGGAGGCCAGGCATGTCTTAGCAAATATTGGAGTGACACTTGGAGTACAATTGGGAGCTATCTGGGGCAAAATAAAGGTGATCAGTCCCACCTTCAGGGCAGCCCCAACTGCCTGAAGTGTCTATGAGAGGAGCACACCACAAGCCATGGCCTCTGAGTGTTGGTACCACAGCCCTGGTCAACTGTGACCTTGTGTGCATGGGCCACATAAGCACAGCCATTACAAGGCAGTGCTTGTAATTAGGGTGAAGGACTGTGTCAGTGAGTTGCAGTCATTGCATGGCTAGCCAGGAGAGCAGCCACATGTTATCTTTATTTTATAAACACACAGTCAGCATTTCTTAGAAATCAGTGTCCTTGACCACAGAATAGATTTGGGAAAAAAAAAAAAAATCAGTGCCTGGCCGGGTGTGATGGCTCATGCCTACACCCGAGCACTTTGGGAGGCTGAGGCAGGCAGATCACTTGAGGTCAGGAGTTCAAGACCGGCCTGGCCAACATGGTGAAACCCTAAAAATACAAAAATTAACTGGGAGTGGTGGCGCACACCTGTAATCCCAGCTATTCGGGAGGCTGAGGCAGGAGAATTGCTTGAACCTGGGAGGCAGAGGTTTCAGTTAGCCAAGATTACACCACTGCACTCCAGCCTGGGTGACAGAGCGAGACTCTGTCTCAGGAAAAAAAAAAAAGCAGTGTCCTTTAACTGGGGCAATACTTAAAGTAATACATGATGCTCGTTTTTTTTTCCTTTTTCAATTCCTGTCTCCCTTAGCTGCTGGAATGTGGTGGAAATTTGTTTGATGCCATTTCCATTGCTGTAAAGGCTGCTCTCTTCAATACAAGGTAAGTCTTCCTGGAAACAGCTCTGCAAACCTGTGGAGAACCAGGGCAGACACTTGTAATGGAACACTGAGAAAAATTTCTACTGTAGCTCATATGTGAAGATAACAGCAGGTTTTAACATTGAAAATGGTGACATCTAACGTTAAACTCCAGAAAAGATAGATTTCGTAACTTAAAACTACATATATACGTATATTCTGTATTTATTTTTTGTATTGTTATTTTTATAGACATCTACCATTTAGAAAAATATTAGAAAACTACAGAGAAGCCAAAAAGAGTAGACGCCACCTACAGGCCAACTATCCAAATACTATTACTGGGTGAACTCTATGGGGGCAAGGATTTTCCTGTTTTGTCCTTGCCTATATTCCTAGCACCATGAACAGTGCCTGAAACATAGTAAGTGCTTGCATATCGCTTGATTGTACACATGTATGTTCTGAAAGCAGGGTAACAGCCTTCCCTTTGGCTTAAGAAGAGGAAATGGCTATTCCACGTGGTTCATCTTTCCAAACAGGTTGTGTAGAAGGGACAAATTGCTACGGCTTTTTGGAGTTGACATTTATCCTGACTGATTATTATTCCCCCTTCTATGCTCCAAGTACTTTGAGGAAAATTTGCAGCATTTATGAGTAAATACGTGGGATAGGGTGTTCATCCTATGAGAGAGCCTACGTTAAGGTAACAGAGGATCCTATTAAAAAATGAGGATTAGAAACTTCTAGGGATATAACCTAAAGACATAATTGAATAAATGAGCAAAGATGTTTATTCTAGGATGTTCATCACAGCTGCTTTGTAATGGTAAGAAACTGGAAACAACCTGAGTTTCACAATGTAGGGGATCGAAGTCCGCACAGCAGCCTATTTAAAGGCAGGTTATTATGGAAAATCACTCACTAAATGCCATCCCCTCATCCTGGTTTTTGTTTGTTTGTTATATTTTACTTTGGTAGTTCTTATATTTAATATGTCTGGAAATATGTACCCCCAAGTGGTCATTGTAATTATTTTTCAGTGCTCATATTTTGGCCAACTTAACATTTATCTGTTTTTTAGAGCTTTTCTATGATGAGTTTAGACTCCCTGTGTAATTTACAGTAGACAAAAATTGCAGGCTGGAGTATTTGTTGAAAATGAAAGCTGTAGAGTCCCCCACCCCTAGTTATGCCTCTAGGCTCCTTGTTGAGACTATTTGAAATGTGAGCCTGGCACTCTTGGCCACTGTGGGAGCTTGCATGCCAGATCCCACAACAGTGGCTGGTGCTTGGGCCCTGTTGGGGAAGGAAAGGAAGTTGTCTTCTGATGTATCTCGAGCCTCAGAAATGACTCCTCATCTGCCAGCTGGTTACTATAGGCACCCAGGCAAAAAGAGAGATTGGGAACTACACAAGGCTGTTTAGCTGTTGGGGAGGTACTGGGCAAACTGTATGCCAGAAAGGTTAACCCAGCTGCTCAGGTAGGGGAGGACACCTGTCATGGGCACAGCCATAGTCTCATCCTCAGACCAAGAACAGCCCTGCAGGCAGCAAGGAATGGGGACTCTAAGGCATCGAGTCCCCCTGGTATGTGGAGAGACTGTTGGCATATTCAGGGTCCTTTAGAAGGGTAAAGGCCACCTGAGGGTATTCTTTAGTCCTTCTGCCTAGTCATGTTGTAGCGTAAATGGTTGACTGACTTGTTCAAATAGGATATTACTTAGTATTTAAGAACTTCCCCTGATGGGAAGGCTCCAACTGGGGAAGACCCTTACAGAACTCCTTGGCCCTTGTGGACATTCTCTGGCTGAAGCTCCCCTGATATGATATAGATGCTGCCTTGTGTATGGATGCCCAGCAGGGCTCAATCATGGGGGGCTTTTGTTAGAGGAACTGGGAAAAGTACCAATGCTATTTCCATTGCAGGAGCTGGATGGACCACCTCTTCCTTCCTGGCTCCTCCACCCTATCCTGGAGTGAATTGACTTTATAGGTTAAATGTGTTTTTCAGTACCCAGCTAAAGAAACAGAATGTTGCCAGCACCCCAGAAGCATCCCACACCTTCTGTACCCCCGTGCAATTACACTCACTGATGATAACCAGCATCTTAAAAGAATAGATTACTTTTGTACTTGATATAAATAGTATCATATACTATGTTCTGTTTTGTGTTTGCCTCATTCACTGAGCATTGTGCTTTGAGAGATCTGTGTCGCTGCCTTAGTCATAGCTTGCTTTTTGCTGTATGGTGTTCCATTGTGTGACTTTGTCTGGTCTGCTGTTTATCCAGTCTACTGTACAGTCTACTGTTGTTTATCAGTCTACTGTTGATGGCCATCTGGTTCGTTTCCAGTTTGAGGCTATTACAAATAGGGATGGGCATCATGAACATTTTTGTGCATGTCTTTGGTGCACATATTTCTCTATTTCTGTTAGGGAAGAGTGTTCTGGGTTACAGGGTATGGCTATCTTTAGTTACTGTAGATGCTGCCAGTTTCACAAAGTGTTTTACCAGTTAACACTTCCACCAGCAGTGTATATAAGAGTTCTGGGTTGTTTCACATCTTTGTCAACCCTTACTTTTTTTTTTTTTTGAGATGATGTCTCACTCTGTCTCCCAGGCTGGACTGCAGTGGCATGATCTCAGCTCACTGCAATCACCCCCTCCCAGGTTCAAGCGATTCTCTTACCTCAGCCTCCCAAGTAGCTGGGATTAAAGGTGTGTGCCTCCACACCCAGCTAATTTTTGTATTTTTAGTAGAGATGGGGTTTCGCCATCTTGGCCAGGCTGGTCTTGAACTCCTGACCTCAGGTGATTCTCCCGACTTGGCCTCTCAAAGTACTGGGATTACAGGCATGAGCCACTGTGCCCAGCCTTTTTTTTTTTTTTCATAGTTATTTTGGTGAGTGTGCCTTGGTATCACAGTGTAGTTTTAATTTGCATTTTTAATAGATATTTAAATTGAGCACCTTTTCTTGGTTTATTGGCTACTCGGACAGCCTCTTTTATGAAGACATCCAAATATATTCTACGTTTGAGTCTTTTGCCCATTTTTCTATTGGGCTGTCTTTTTTAATAGGAATTCTTCATGTAATCTGTCAGATAGTATTTTCTCCATCCAGATTACATTTTTAGTTTTTAAATGATGTCTTCTGATATAAAGAAGTTCATGATATATATTTATATAATATAAATGATATATGTTAGTAAATATATATAATATATATACACATATATAATTGAATATATAACTTTTTTCCCTTTGTGAATCCTGTTCAAGAAATAGTTATCTACTCCAAGGTCATGTAGATGTTTTTTTCTAAAAGTTTTATTGTCTTATCTTTCATTTTTATATCTATGGTCTATTTCATATGGCTTTGTGTGTGTGGTGTGAGGTAGAGATTGAGATTCTTTTTTTTTCCATTGGGATATCTGATTGACCCAGCATCGTTTTCTAAAAGATGCCTTTCCTCATTGCATTGTGGTGCCTCCTGTGTGTTTTTGACAGGGATGACAGGGATGAGGATGATAAAGAATAGGCATAGTGTATCTTTCTCTTGTGAGACACAGGGATTCCAACTCCTACTCTCAATCTTAAAAAGAAGTTATTTTTTCTCCTCCCAGTAAGTGGGAATTTTAATTGTGCTTCTGCTTCCAGCATACCAAGGGTTCGAGTTCTGGAGGATGAAGAGGGGTCGAAGGACATTGAATTGTCTGATGACCCTTATGACTGCATACGACTAAGTGTGGAGAATGTCCCCTGCATTGTCACTCTGTGCAAGGTATAAGCTTGTGTTTTATGTTTTTTGTCTTCCCTGTGGGTGTGGGTCTCCTCCAATCCCAACCTGCTGAGGTTACTTAATAGGTTAAGAAGTTGTAATATCACATACCATATAGAAGTAGCTTTTACCCAAATCCAATAATTTGGTTATATTAGAAACCACTACCATGAGTAGCTCTTTCTTTTCTTTTTAATTGGAAGATACAACGTGATCCTTGGAGCCATGAGTGTGTTTGTAGTAATAGTAGCCAGAGTTTGTTAAGCTCCTTCCGCATACCGTGCACTTCACTAAAGCACCATGTCCTTTAATTCCCTCAACTCTATGGGGTCTAGGGTGGTTGAGTAGTGGCAGGGTGGTGAACACTGTCCACCCTATGAAATGGGAGGTTGGAGCAGGTCTTGGGTATCAGGAGTGGTTTTCACATAGAGGGCTGTGGAGCTGAACAGAGGGCAGTGGAGCTGAATATCAGGCTGATGTGACATATAACTAATGCTGCTCCAGGCTGTGCAAAGAGGCCTGTATTGGCTGTTGGCTGGGATTGTAGCTAATTCCACTCAGGATTCATTATCTCAAAATAAAGCTAAACAGGTCAGGTTTAATTCCACTGAAATCACTTCATGAACAGAATGTGGTGAAGTGTTCAGACAGCAGGACGTTGGGTCTTGGCTTCTTTCTTTTCTTGTTTTCTTTTTTTTTTGTGACAGTCTTGCTGCAACACCCAGGCTGGAGTGCGATGGTGTGATCTCGGTTCACTGCAATCTCTGCCTCTCAGGTTCAAGCAATTCTCCTGCCTCAGCCTCCCAAGTACCGGGATTACAGGCACGCACCATCATGCCCGGCTAATTTTTGTATTTTTAGTAGAGACGGTGTTTCACCATGTTGACCAGGCTGGTCTCAAACTCCTGACCTTGGGTGATCCGCCCACCTCAGCCTCCCAAAGTGCCGGGATTACAGGCATGAGCCACCACACCTAGCCGGCTTGTTCTTTCTTAATTTGTTTTGAAACACGATCTTGCTCTGTCGCCCAGGCTGGAGTGCAGTAGCACAATCTAGGCTCACTGCAACCTCTGCTGCAACTCCCCCACCTGCCCAGGCTCAAGCTCAAGCAACCCTCCCACCTCAGCCTCCCAAGTAGCTGGTAGCACAGGCTCGCACCACCATATATGGCTATTTTTTTGTATTTTTGGTGGAGATGGGGTCTTGCCCATGTTACCTGTGCTGGTCTCAAACTCCTGAGCTCAAGCAATCCATCTTTCTCAGCTTCCCAAAGTGCTGGGAGGCATGAGCCACTGCGCCCAACCTTTGGCTTGTTCTTGAGTGTGTCCCTTAGCATGGACCCTCTTGATTTCCCTTGCCATCAGTGAAACGTCCATGTGGCTTTGTGTATTAATTTCTCCCTTGTGCCCCTCTGTTGGAAAGCCCTGGTGGCCTTTGCCTTGGATGGTCTCTGAATTCTAGTTTTAAACCCCCTTGCCCTGTTTTTCTATGTCATGTTTTTATTGTACCACCCACACAGTGGCCTGTGAGAATTGTTGAACATTCCTTGAACTATTTTCCTCATGAGCAGAATCTAAAATAAAACCTGGAATGACCAGTGCGGGTACTTTGCCTGGTGTAGAGATTCCCACCACGAGGCCATGAAGGGTGGGGCTCTGAGGCCTGCGTGACCCACTGTGTGCTGTGCGCCCTGCCTTTGCAGATTGGCTATCGGCATGTGGTGGATGCTACTCTTCAGGAGGAGGCCTGCTCGCTGGCCAGCTTGCTGGTATCGGTGACCAGCAAGGGAGTTGTGACGTGCATGAGGAAAGTGGGGAAGGGCAGCCTGGACCCAGAGAGCATCTTCGAGATGATGGAGGTGAGGCCCTGGTTCTGAGGAAGGTGCGGGGACCTGGCTTGGGTGCCTGCTGCTCGCTCCCTTGGTCACACCATGGCGATTCTCCCCATTCACAGCCTTGACCCCAAACCTGGAGGTTGGAGAACAGCTGGTTTGAGCCAGGGGTCTGCTGACCTAATCAAGGGGGTTGCGGGGGTAGATACTCTGGACTGGGAGGTAAGGAGCCTACCAGTAACCATTTCTTATCCTCAGTAAGTGCCCCCATCTCATTTCTGTGTGTCTAAATAAGACCGTTGGACTTTGATAATGTAAAGAGCCGCTCGTAACTCCAAAATCGCAGGCCTTTGTAACTTGATGAGGGAATAGAATTCTTGGCTCACTGCTTCCTGTCCCTTGAAGTGGGTGAGTAAAGATAGAAGCAGGGGCTGAAATGTGGCTGTCTGCCAAATTCATTACTGCTCTAGAAGTGTTTAAATGGAGACAAGCAGGGATGGTGAGAAATCCGACCCGCTGGAGTAGGGGTGGGTTGCCCCCATCACTGGCAGAGCCATCAGGGCACTTCCACAGTTTTCTGTACTGTTTGCCCCACATGTCTGTCACCTCACTGGCCTGGAAGCCCCGCAGGAAGGGACAGGGTCCTGCTCACCTGTTTCCCAGACCTTCCTTCCCCTACATCCACCTCACCTTTCTGACTGATTGACTGACTGAACTTCCAGGAACAGAGTTAGCCGGATCTGATTATTCATACTTTCTTGTAACCTCTATATCACCACACATGCCCAGAGATCATTGCTTAATAGCAAGCACTCTTCCTTTGTGTTTAGAAACAATGACTTCTTACCGAAGAATCCAAGAACATGACATCTATTTTCTTCATCATCTTTAAAATTTAAAAGGCCAAAATGAGCACTGTATATAGCATGGAGTTCCCAACCGTGGGCTGTGAGGGTGTACTGCCCTGGCTGCAAACCTGGCTCTGGGCCGTAGTCCCCCTCATCTGCAAAGTGGGACTGATAATAATAATGTCTGCCTCAGACACTGCAGAGGTGGTTATTAGGGTGATGTGAGGTGTAGAGGTGAAGCACGTGTCACAGTGTCTGATAACGTCATCAGTTCTCAGCTAATGGCAGCTTTTATTCTCTGTGCTCCGTGAAGCACCCTGAGTTCAGATTTCTCCAGATTTAATGCTGCATAAAGTCTACCAAAGGCCTCTAGACAAGGGACCGTCAAACCTTGTTTTAGAAGGTACTGTTCCCCCTCCCAGGAGAGTTTATGAGAATTTCTCTAAATAACAACAAGCACAGTAAACAAATAGCTAAAGTTTATTGTGTGCGTACTATGTGCCAGATACTGTTTTCACTGCTTTAAATACATCATTTAATCCTCAGCAACCTGTGAGGTAACTATTGTCCTCATTTTTACAGATGAGGAAACTGAGGCACACAGAGGATAAGCAGCTTGCATACAGGCCTCCCTGCTCATAAATACTGGAGCTAGGATTTAAACCCAGACTGTGTGCGTCCAGAGCCACTGCTCCCAGCCCCTGTGCAATGTCAGCCTTATAAACCAGATCTCCATGGCTGTCCTGGATGGCAGAACTGGAGCTCTGTTCAGTGAGTTGAGCTTTGTCCTCCCCTCAGGTTTGGGGGATGAGGTCTGCTAACTCTGGACAGGGGACTGTAGCTCTGTGGCCCTGTCTTACTGTTTATCTCACACAGGGATGCAGCAATCTGGAAGTGACTCACTGGTGTTGCTGAGAGCCTGGCGGGTGGTTGTGCAGGCTGCCACCCCCAACCTCTGCAGTTGCTTTCTTATATCTGGATTCAGAGGCATCAAGTCCTTCTCAAGTCCTGACATCCTGTCCATCTCATCTCCTCTTGTCCTCCCTCTCCACCCTCATGTATATGAATAATCAGTACCCCTATTTGACAGACTCAGACTTTTTTCTTTTTCTAATGTTATGGGAAAATCTTTCCAAAGGCCCTTTTTTTTTTTTTTTGAGACGAAGTCTCACACTATCGTCCAGGCTGGAATGCAGTGGTGCGATCTCAGCTCACTGCAACCTCTGCCTCCCTGGTTCAAGTGATTCTGCCTCAGCCTCCCGAGTAGCTGGGATTACAGGTGCCCGCCACCACTCCCAGTTAATTTTTTTTGTATTTTTAGTAGAGACGGGATTTCACTATGTTTGCCAGGCTGGTCTTGAATTCTTGACCTCGTGATCTGCCTGCCTTAGTCTCCCAAAGTGTTGGGATTACAGGCTTGAGCCACCGTGTCTGGCCCCCAAAGGCCTTTTTGACCTTTAACCCTGACTTTGCATTTCATAGAGGTGATCACTTCCCAGCCTTTTAGATTGAAATCATCTCTTCATAAGAGTTTTAGTCATACTTGGGATCTCATCCCATGTTACAGTTAGGGGCCAGGGGAGAAGACACACAGGTCGTTACTCTGGGGAGAATACACCTGTAACTGAAAAGATTGAGGCAGGGATTTAGGCATGGATGTCTTTATCCCAACATTGCTGAGAATGGAACCAGTGGCAGAGTTGAATCCAAACTCCTATGGGAATGTGAAATACTAGATAAGGTAGAGATTTGTGGTTGGTTCTTTGTATTCTTAAAATGATTCTTGGGCCCAGAGACAGATAAAATAACAGTTTCATAAAGAAAAATTTTTTTTTATATTGGGGTGGTTGTTGTTGAGACAGGGTCTTGCTCTGTTATCCAGGCTGAAGTACAGTGGCACAGTGACAGCTCACTGCAGCCCTGACCTCCCGGGCTCAAGCAATCCTCCCATCTCAGCCCCCTGAGTAACTGGGACTACAGGCGCATACCACCATGCCCAGCTAATTTTTTAGTTTTTTGTAGAGATGGGGTTTCACTCTGTTGCCCAGGCTGGTCTTGATCTCCTGGCCTCAAGCAAAATCCTCTTGCCTTGGCCTCCAAAAGTGCTGGGATTACAAGCATGAGCCACCACTCCCAGTCATACTGAGTTTTGTTTTGTTTTTTTTTTTTTTTTTAGGACCTCTTGTGTCTGCTGTGTAGGGACTGATTATTTTGTGGGTTGTCCCTCTTGATGTGTTTTGATTCCAACATTTCACTGCCTTTAACATCTCAGCATGGCAGTAACACCAAAGATCCCATCCAGGTACTGACTTTGGTCACACCTGAGCAGTTCTGCTTAGAGGCTGTGTGGGAGGTGAATGAGAAGCTGCTTACTAAACTGTCCTTGGCATCATCTGTTTCTTCTCCAGACACACTCTGGATTCCCTTTGGTCTCCCTATTCCTTCTCACTGTAGTACAGTGTCAACCTGGCTATACCCAAGCCCAGATTTGGTTGACAACTTTGTTTCTTGTTGCAGTGGCAGCAGGATTGTGAAGCATGAACTAATGGCCAGGGCAGGCTTTGCTGCTCCCCGTTTGCTGCCTGGTGGGGGCTGGTGTCTTTATTTATTTATTTTTGATACGATTTTTCCAAAATTTATTATGTTGTTGGGGTTTGTGGTTTGTTTTTGTTTTAATTTGCTTTAATTAAATAAAAGTCCTCTAAGGCAGATGGAATGTGTACAATGTCAGAAAGACTAACTGGCAGAAAGGGAAGCTTTTCTGGTCAGAGTGTGTGTGCCTTACAAGGGGGCGTGTGCTCTCTCCTGTCCCTTCTCCACAGACTGGCAAGCGTGTGGGGAAAGTGCTGCATGCCTCCCTGCAGAGTGTTTTGCACAAGGAAGAAAGCCTGGGACCCAAGAGACAGAAAGTTGGATTCCTGGGATGATTTGCATATCAACTGCTTAACTGTGGATTGTTTTTTACTTTTCCTTTTAAACTGGTTTGTATATAGTTTTCTTCGCTGTTACGAATTTACAGCAACATTTGTACGTGTAAAATTAAAGGCTATTTTCTGGTCTGGTTTGGTATGTTTAGAGTTCTTCAGTTGAAGTCAAGGCACCATTCAGTGACCCCTCCGAGTCTGGCCCTTATCTAGTGAGTGGCAGACAAACCCAGAGCTCTGCCACCAAGGGAGACCCCACAAGCTGGAGTAAGGACCTGGCAGAAAATGGTTTAAAGGAAATGCTTATGATACGTATTTTGTGAATTTTTTTCCCCTTGAGGAACTTTAAGAATCACAAAGAAAAGTTCATTCACCTTGTGTATTTGGGTGGTTCTGGGAGAGGAAAAAAGAGGAGGCACTCTGCCCTAGGTACAGACCCAGGGCGTCTGCCTGGCTGGTGAGTTGTCCCAAATCCTGGGGAAGTCCAACTGTGACTTCCTGCCTTCTGAGAGATCTGAATGAATTCCTTAGGTTCAGGGTCTTAGTGGTAGCTTTGGCTCTTAGCCATCCTTTCTTATCACTCTTGTTTTGAAATTGCTTTGTGCTTTATAACCACTCCCTGGTGTTTCCTAAGATTTTGTTTTGTCAGCATTAAGGAGGATGCTTTCAAGATGTTGTCATTTGATAATTCAGCTGCCTTCATGCTGTCGGCATAGAAAGGAAGACTATGCTTGCTGGCCCAGAAAGCTCTTCTATAAGCCTGTAGTTTCACTGTGCAGTGTGTTAGAATTAAGTCTCTTCATGTGTAGAGCAGCTTTTTTTTTTTTTTTTTTTCCCCTAGGGAAACTGAAACTCCTAAATCTTAAAATGCCCTGGGGAAGGAGCTGATTCATGAAGGAGAGCATTTCAACCGTGGCATTTGCTCTCTGCATTCAGTTAGACAAATGGGGTAAGGCGTTAGGAATTTATCACCAAATGGAAAGAACATAATGTGAGCTGAAGCCCCTGGGACTGCTTCCAGAGGTCCTGGTGTGGGCGTTCCTCCCAGCAAGGCCAGGTCCATCCCTGTGGAGGGAAGCAGCTGCCTAGACTTGGGCTTAATGGGGAAGCTTCTACCCTGTTGAGAGCACAGCCTGGGTTTTTATCTTTTATGTTTCTCTAGTGACCATCTACAGACACCATGATGGTGTTCCCAACAAGGCAGAAATCAGCCTGGTCTCTCCTTCCCTGCTCCTCGTTGACTGTCCATGACATGGCAAAACATTGGCAGTGGTGGTGCAGAGATGCAACTCAAGTGTGAATAAAGTTTAGAAGCTTTTGCTTTTGATGGTTGATTCCAGTGGATCATTTTGAGATACATAAATTAGAATGGATATTGTCATATATGTCAAACTCAGCTCTGCTTCACTTCCCTTCAGACAGATGAGGCTGTGGCATGCCAGTGGTATGACAAACAGCTACCCAACTTGGATGGCTGGCTAAACGCTTCCAGGAAAAATGAAGAAGGAAGAGAAAAAGATGGTGGCATCTGTCTCTAGCCACCCCATACCTTTCCCTGAAGGCCATCCCTACATGTAACGTACATATATTGCAAATGAAACAAAACACCATATGAGCAGGGGCTCTCAAGGAGAGGTGTTTATTGGAAAGATCTGATTGTTGCAGCTCTCAGAATGAGAGAAGAGAAAACTGAAGACAGAGACTGGCAAAGACTTGGAAAAATATTATCCTGGGACAGACCTGTTTCATCCAGCAGAGCCACAGCTGTCTTTAGTGGTCTTTAAATAAACATTAGGTAGAAGAATATTGAAGATGGTCAAAGTAAGGGCGAGGTATAAGAAATGCAATGTTAAGTAATAACTGGGTTTTTAATTGTCTCTGATTCCTTAGTCTTCCAAATTACGAGTTAATTTTTTTTTTCTTTTTTTTTAGAGATAAAGTTTCACTGTGTCACCGAGGCTGGAATACAGTGGTGCAATCATAGCTCACTGCAGCCTCAAACTCCTGGGCTCAGGTGATCTTCCCACCTTTCTGGGACTGCAGGCGTGCCACTATGCCCAGCAAATTGTTTTTTTAAAACGAGGGTCTCACTATGTTGCCCACGCTGGTCTTGAACTCCTGGCCTCAAGCAATCCTCCTGCCTTGGCCCCCTGAAGTGCTGGAATTATAGGCATTAGCCACTGCACTGTGACATGAGTTTAGATTTTTTTTTTTTTTTGATGAGAGTTGTTGAGTGGGCTGACTTCTTTTTATTATTATTATTTTTTGTTTTTTGATATATGGTCTCACTCTGTCACCCAGGCTGGAGTACAGTGGTGGGATCTTGGCTCATTGCAGCCTTGACCTCCTGGGCTCAAGTGATCCTCCCACCTCAGTCTCCTGAGTAGCTGAGACTACAGGCACGTACCACTGTGCCTGGCTGATTTTTGTATTTTTTGTAGAGATAGGGTTTTGCGAGGTTTCTCAGGCTAGTCTCGAACTACTGAGCTCAAGTGATCCACCTGCCTTGGCCTCCCAAAGTGCTGGCATAACAGGCCTGAGCCACCACACCCCACCCAGCTGATGTATATTAACAGCCATGGAAAGCCTTTTTAAAAATGGTAGGCTTGGTGGGGTGCAGTGGCTCACACTTCTAATCCCAACTTTGGGAAGTCAAGGTGAGAGAATCATTTGGGGACCAGGACTTTGAGACCAAGGTGGTCAACATAGTGAGACCCCCATCTCTACAAAAACTTAAAAAATTAGCCAGATGTGGTAGTGTACCTGTAGCCCCAGCTACTCAGGAGGCTGGGGCAGAAGGTTTACTTGAACTCCGGGAGTTGGAGGCTGCAGTGAGCTATGATTGCACCACTGCTCTCCAGTCCAGGCGACAGAGCAAGAACCCTGTCTCAAAAACAAACAGAAAACAACAAATGGCAGGCTTGTCAGCCAACCATCAATTTTTGGCATGCTATTTAATATAAAAACCAGAAGGTGGCTGGGGACGATGGCTCATCCCTGTAATCCCAGCACTTTGGGAGGCTGAGGCAGGAGGATCACTTAACCCCAGGAGTTCAAGACCAGCCTAGGCTACATAGTGACACACCATCTCTACATAAAATTTAAGAATTAGCTCAGCATGGTGGTGCATGCCTGTAGTCCTAGCTACTCAGGAGGCTGAGGTGGGAGGATCGCTTGAGTCCAGGAGGTCAAGGCTGCAGTGAGCCAAGATTATGTCACTGCACTCCAGCCTGGGCAACAAAGCGAGACCCTGTCTCAAATAAATAAAACCAGAAGACCTTCATAGCACAGTTTAAAGAGACTGATTTACAACTTGAGTAGAATGTGCTGAATTTCAAACCCAAGATTTCCTTGTGCAAGAGTGGCAGAGTTGCAAAGGAGACAAGGTACATCCTCAGGAGGTTACTTTTGCAAAAATCAAGACTTTCATCAGGAAAGAAAGGGACTCAAACCTGAGTTAAAGATAGGACCTTGGGTGCCCCCACATTCTCCTGAACTCTTCGGGCAGGCAGAAGAAGCCTCCACTCCTCAGCTAACGGAGCACAGCTATCCCTTTCCTTCCTGGAGACCACCAAAGGCCATACCTGAGGCAAATGTGTCAGAAATGGTACAGGTCAACCTCTGTCCCACTTCCCCTGATTATTTCCAGACCAATGACTAGGGTCAGATTACAGCCCAGCCTGAACAGGGAAATATGGTTCCTGCTGTGGGAAGAAATAGATTACTCATCAAAATAATTACAAGACTCAGCTTGGAATATGTGAAATTGAGGTGGGAGTGTCTTGAGGGTGTTGGACTAGGGCTGTGACTAGAAATAGGGTTTAATATTTAATATCACGGTAAGGAGATCTGAAGTTGTTCCTAATTCACTGCTGGGATAGCCCCTTTGAAGTGGACCCAGCGATCACCAGAAGTAAATGAGGAGGAGATGCCAGAATTGCCTTGGAGTAGTGTATTGAGGAAAGGGTTGGAGGGTTTATAGAAGTGAGTGTCTTAGAATGGATTTATCGTATGAGCCTGGAGAACATGCCACCCATCTATGATCCCCAGGATAACTTAGAGGGCACTGTCTTCACTAAAGCAAAAAGAAGTTGCTAGGGAAGGAGTCCTGGCATCCTTGAGAAGGTCAGTAATACTTGTCCGGAAAGTTGGGTTGGCATCGGGAGATGCTACCATAGACCTGGGATTTCTACTGTTACTGGGTTAAGATTTGAGATGAGCAGGGGACAGGTGGCAGCACGTAGCCATCAGAGGCCAGATGAGTATAATTTCCATGATGTACAGCAAGGCCCAGGTGGCAGTCTGGCTGTAGCTAATAGATTATGTGTTCTGAGGGTTAAGACAGATGGGCAGCCAATCAGGATTTTAATCAACTTGTCAAAATTAAAAATAATAAAATAATAATTGGAGCATAAAAAGCTTATGTCAACCACTATAATGGGAAATTCTAGTCCTTCACCCGGTTTCTGTAAGCCAGTTTCACAGATGAAAGTCCATTGACAGGAGGGAGGTTGGTGTCTTTAAGAATCCTGTGATATCACCATCAGTACTTACAATAATACTTCCCCAATCTGGAATAACGCATCGAGGAAAGGTGATTTGAAGGCTTTTGAATCTGGGTTTTGACTTGATGCCTGTATTGGGAGACCTGAAATGCTGCCAAGGCTCTCCAGTCAAGGGGGATGAGGGATGGAGGCTAGGTAATAAATGGATGGTGCAAGTAAGTCTGGCTCACAATGGTCAGTAGGTCCTGGGATAATTTCTGTCCCCAAATGTGTGGGTGGGATGGATATGGTACAATTGAGGTGTCATAAATGGGATGGAATGAAAACCACAATGGTAAGGGTCAAGGTTGGAAACTGCCTCCCTTCCCTGGCCAAGATCATAAATCAGAGACAATATTGGATCTTGGGAGAAATTGCTGAGATTAGGACGAACATCAAAGACTTTAAGGACGCAAGGGTGGTTGTCCCCACCTCATTGCCATTTATCTTATCCCTGTGGCCCCTGTGAAAGCCAGGTGAATCATGGTAGATGACCAAACACACGAGAGAGCTCCCATTTCCGCTGCTTTGTTGGATGAAGTGTCTTCACTAAGATTAATCAACACAGCCTCCAGTGTTTTGTATGTGGCTATAAGTTAGGCAAATTCTTCCTTAATCCCCATTAACAAGAAGGGTCAAAAGCAGATCTCTTATGTGGAAGAACTGCAAAATGTGTTCAGTGTCTTGTCACTGGTCTATGTTAATGATCTACTTTTTGTCACAGTGATGTCTTCAGGGCCATCGTGCTGATGTATTTATATTGATAAAATCATGTTTATTAGATCTAGTACATAGGATGTGGCAAGCTGTTGGAAGTCCTAGTAAAAGACACGTGCACGAGAGGGTGGGAAATAAACCCCATGAAGATTAAGGAGACCACGACATTGATAATATTTTTAGGTATCCAATGGTGTGGGGCATTCTGAGAGATACTCCCTCTAAGGTGGTAGATTTTGAACCTTACACCCACCCTCATCTCCCCACTACCCTCACTGAGAAGTACAGCACTTGTTGGGCCTCTGGATTTTGGAGACAAGAATGCCGTGCTTGAGAATGCTGTCTCAATGCATTTCCTGAGTAATTCACAAACCTACCAGTTGTGAATGGGAGTCCAGAATAAGACAGGACTCTGAAGCCTGTCTAAGCTGCATTACAAGCATCCCTCCTGCTCCATGTGACCCAGAAATTCCAACAGAGCTAGTGCTATCTGGAGAGATAAGGGTGCTGTGTAGTTTCTGACAGGCCCAATAGGAGGTTGTAGCACAGACCCTAGGATTCTGGAGCAAGGCCATGTGGTGGAAAACTATTCACCTCCAAATGAGTGAGTTTGAAAAGAAGTTTCTGGCTTGCCTCTGGGCCCAATTAGGGACTGAATACCCAACCCTGGGACCTCAGGTGACCAGAGCCACCCATCATGCTGGTTATTGTCAGACCCACCAGGTCATAAGGTTGGGTGGGTGCAGCAACAATCCATGCAACATGAAAATGTACATTCAGGATTAGGCCTGAGCAGTTCAGTGGGCACAACCAAGGAATATACCAGGTAGTCCAGATTCGTCTGTCACCCCTGTTCGCCAGTGCCTCTCATCCACACTTATGGCCTCATGGGGGAGGGGACTCCTGCAGCCAGATACTGGAAGAGGAAAACCCGAGGTCTGGCTTGTGGATTAGTTCTTTATATTGATGTGTGCCCCAAAGGGACTGCTGCTGCATTACAGCCCTGCAGGACAGCAGCGAGAGAACTGAGTGCAGCAATGCACTTGGTTGTTCAGTTTGGACAAAGGGATAAGGATACACATGGATTCCTGGGTAGTAGGGAGTAACTAGACTAGTTGGACAAGGGCCTGAAAGGAGTAAGATGGGATAATCAGAGAAAAGGGATTTGTATGGACCTGTGGGAATGGGCCAAAAAAGTGCAGATAGTCGGGAATCATGTTAATGCCCATCAGAGGACATTTTCCAAGGGAGGTGTTCAACAACGTTTTGACTTAAGTTCTGGGTGGGATATGTAGGTCATGGCAGACCACCATTCATGCTGCTGCAGCTAAGAATGCTGAATGCATTTCAAGTGTCATCGTTAAAGATTTTGGAAAGCTCTGGAAGCAAAGAGGATTGCATGGCCTAAAATTCCAGAGAAGGGGGAATTCCAGACTTTCTGAAGTGGGCAGCCTGTCACCGGCATTTCCTTCCCTGGGGGCATTTGCAGATTCTGGACGCGGAATAAGAATCAGGCTTGGGAACATAAAAGAACTATATGGGGGAAAGGGAAACCTGCAAAACCTCCGGCAAAGTTGTGTAGGGATAGTGTGATGATTTAGAAACTCATGGATCCCTAAACATACAGCTGGGTTTATATTCGCCAAATTCTCAGACATGATGGGAAGTCAGGGAGTTTCATTAAAGAA